AATTCGCCGAAAGCCCCTACTTGGCGCGCCAGCTGTCGATGTTTGATCACCGATAGCCTGCCACGGGGGTACCCGAGGCAATATGTTTGGGCTTCAGCATATGTGGAACTTGACGGTGAACGCAAGAGACAGTCGATTTATCCTGGTTCGGATCCTCGATCGCTGATTGAGTAATAGCCCTACGTCCCGTCGGCGTTAGCCCTTTCGTTGGATTGATTGTCTGGAGTTGTGTTGTTACAGTCGTCAAAAGTCGTGATCCTCCCGTCTCTAGGAACCCTGCCCCCCTTTATATAGTCAGGAAGTCAGAATCCTAGTCGGTTTACAATGAGAATTCCTAGTAGGATTACAGAATAATACTACTACTAAGATTACATGGGAAGAATCATAGTTAGACTAGATCTTCTCCCTTCCTTGCGGGGTATCTCGTGGGTCCCGCACCGACACCAGCCCCTCGGCGTGGCTAAGTCAAGAAAGCAACGTCGTCCCCTCCAACCTTTTCCTCAAGGGGATGGCTAAGTAACTAGATGCGCGAAAGGCTTCGCTGCTAGTCCCTCGGCGCGGCTAAGTCTAGAAAGCGACGCTGTCCCCTCCAACCTTTTCGTCGAGGGGATGGCTATGCAACTAGACGCGTGAAAGGCTTCACTGCCAACCCCTCAGCGCGGCTAACTCTAGAAAGCGACGCCGTCCCCTCCAACCTTTTCGTCGTGGGGATGGCTAAGTAACTAGACGCGCGAAAGGCTTCGCTGCCAGCCCCTCAGCGCGGCTAAGTCTAGAAAGCGACGCCATCCCCTCCAACCTTTTCGTCGAGGGGATGGCTAAGTAACTCGACGCGCGAAAGGCTTCGCTGCCTGCCCCTCGGCGTGGCTAAGTCTAGAGAAAGCGACGCCATCCCCTCCAACCTTTTCATCGAGGGGGTGGCCGAATAGATACACGCGCCTCAGGCTTTGCTGCCAGCCCCTCGGCGTGGCTAAGTCAAGAAAGTGACATCGTTCCCTCCAACCTTTTCGTCGAGGGGATGAGCGAATAGTTGAGCACGCAAGGAGGCTTCACTGCCAGCCCCTCAGCACGACTAAATTGGAAAGTCGGTGCCATCCCCTCCAACCTTTTCGTCGAGGGGATTGGCGAATGGTTACATGAATATTGTGGAGTTTCTGCTCTGCTTTTGTTTCCGCTGATGCAATTTTATTTACTCGTTTTGATGTTTACAATAATCACGCCTTCCGTGTGTTCGAGGAGCTGTCGAATAGGTATATTGGCATATATGCGTGGTTCCGCCGCTTTCTTCCGCTTCTTGGCTCGCGACATCGAATCTTGCGTCAGCCTGCAACCTTTTTGGGCAAAAAGACGAACACTGGATTACCTTTTGCGTATAGATGAAATTATCATGGATGCATCTATTCTTGATGAAAGCATTCTGAGCATTGGAGACAAGTGAATTCATGTGCGGCGCCAATCTATTTGCTAATATTTTCGTGATGATTTTTACAACGCTGTTGGTAAGGCTTATTATCGGCCTAAAATCAGACACAGCGGATGCGTCCTGTGTTTTAGGCAATAGGACAATGTGTGCTGCATTATTGATCAAACTCAGCCTTGATTTTTGGTTGTTGAAGAAGCACATGATCGCCTGAATCAAATCCTTTTTGAACACCCTGACCCTATCATTATCGTATTTCTTACAATAACATCTAAGAAACAAGATCCACAACGATGTTCTTCTTCTCACCACTGATACAAGTATGCATGCATTATACTTGTATCAGTCTGATATATGATACCCACATCACTGGGTTGAGTTCAAATGAAGCCCTCGCTGCTCGCTTGTTGGGCACGGGGAAGTCAATCTCGTGCAGCTGGTTGGGTGAGCAGCGGCTACCACGAACATCACCGAAATTTTTTCCTGTAAATAAAATGGCAAATGGACCGGGATGGCTTGGCCGGGTAGGCGTGGATCGAGTGGTCGGCCCCCAACTACGAGTGCCGCCGTCGCCCGCCACCCGGCTCCCCGCCTCCCCGTTGGTCGTCGTTCCGGCCTCCCTCGGCACCTCGCTCGTCGGCAATAGCCAAAAGGGACGTGATTGATCAGGCGGTGATCTCAGCGTGATTGAGGTGGCCGGAGATAGATGACGACGTGCCGCGCGGCGGACGGCGTTGGCACTTGCCCGCACGTGTAATATAATTAACTTGATATGCGTCCAGTCCAGGTTGGCCACGTACGTGGTACCACATCCAAATTAATTCTTGGCGGTGGTTGGTGTTGGACTTTTTAGGCTAGCACACAAAATCCTCAACGGCTGGAAACCGTTTTGGGTACGTTACTCGTGATGCACTACTACTGTAATGATTTTACGCAGCGGGCGAAATCGGTTTTCCGCGGCGGGCAAAGCTGTCCGCCGTGGTTCAAAGGCCACGGGAAATCATGGCTTTACCGCAGCGGGCCAACTTGCCCACCACGGTTAATCGATTAACCGTGGCGGGCAGGTTAGGATGCCCGCCGTGGTTAATGGTTTGGAAAAAAACAAAAAAAACCCTAGCGAGCCCAATTGAGCCCATCGCCAGGCCCAATCGAGCCCGCTGCCAGGTGCATCAGATCTGCTGTGGACGCGCTCGCTGTCGTCGTCCTTGTGTGTGGATCTCGCCGGCCTCCGCCTCCTCGTGCCGATGGAGCTTGCAGACCCGCTCGCGGTCGTCGTCCTCGTGCGTATGGATCTCGCCGGCCTTCGCCTCCTCGCGCCGCCAGAGCTCGCGGTCCCGCCTGGACCAGCCGCCGTGGTGGCGGGATATCCTTACAATGCCGGATCTGGGCGGCCCAAGGGAAGGCGGCGGCGCTCTGGACCCGGACTGCATGCATATCTGGGGAGAGAGTGAGGGAGTGGAAGAGAGGGAGATGAGGAGCGAGGGCAACCTACCCGAGTTGGGGGGGAGGCGCGACGCAGAGGATGGGGAATGGCTGGCCCGCCAAGGGCCTGCTCTGGTGGAGGCGCCGCTGGGAGAGCCAGCCGCCTTGCCGTCTGTTTCGTGAGGAGGGAGGGAGGGGAGCGGGGGAGGCGCCATCGGTGGAGGGAGAGGTGGAGGCCCGCCGCCCGTCTGGAGAGTGGAGGAGAGGGAGAGGAGCGCCGCCGTCTGGAGAGTGAAGGAGTCAGGCGAAAGCGGTGGGTGAGTGGAGGAGCAGCAGTGGGAGTCGGAGTGGAGATGACCTAAGTCTGCTTTATATACTAGCCCGGTAGGAAAACATATATGGGCTTTCACCTGGGCTCTGAGCTGGGCCGAATTTACCGTGGCGGGCCTTATACTGTGCCCGCCGCGGTAAATCGATTTACCGCGGCGGGCAAAAGTGCCCGCCGCGATAAATAAAAAATGTCCGCCACGGTAAATCATGGGATTTACCGCGGTGGAAAAAAATTGAGCCCGCCACGGAGGCCTCCGGGACACCGTCGCGGTTAATCAATCCTGTAGTAGTGATGGAAAGACTAACCTCGCCATTTTCTCAACTTTAGTACGTGTTCATATCACGTACGCATATAGAAAAAAAAAAGAGTTAAATGCGTCAGAGATCCATTAACTTGTGAGGAGGTTTCAGTTGGGTCCATCAACTTCCAAAGTGGTTTTTTAGGTCCATAAACTTTTAAAATGGTTCACTACAAGTCCATGCCATTTATTTAACCTTAAATCCAACATACATTTGCAGAAAACCCCATAGCTTTCTTTATCTTCTACGCGGTCAGACCCTTACTGCTCACTCATGCATGCACGTCGGCTTCGGCACTTCGGGACTGGAACCTTGCCATGCTGTATCACAGTGTCATGCATGCATGCGTGCAAGGATTGCGGCTCATAACGGCAGGGCACGCAGCAGCATATGGCCCTGGCCCGCTGGCCCCTCCTGCGGTCCGAGTGTGTGTGCAACGCGTGCATGTGTTATGCGTTGCGTGCGCGCACGGAAAGACTACAACTGCAGATGCCTGGGTCGCCGCGGGAAGGCACGTCGGCACGTCGACGTCGCGGCATGATCCGCGCTCCGTGTCTGCGTGCGTGACCAGGGCGCGGCCGGCCGGCCGGCAAGGGGAGGCCCAGGCTGGGCCGTGGGTGTGGGGGGCTGCATCCTAGCAGGCCGAGAGGCCGTGGACCACGCGCGCGCGGCCGCCGTGGCCCGCGGCTCCGTCCTTTATTCGATGGCGAATGCTGATTGCCGAGAGCTCAAGAAACGACAGCAACAAGCAAATCCCAGTACGTCCCAGGTAACATACACTGCAGCCGCGGCATGCCTTTCCACGAGGAAAAGAGGCAGCCATGGCGTGATCCTGTAGTGGCTGAAGCGGCGCAGCATATAGCATGGAGCATAGCCTGGCCTTTTCCTTTCGGGCAAAGAGAATGAGTGATCAGTGCCAGTGGTGTGGCGAGTGAATGAAGGTAGCGTAGGTAGGGGAATGTTTGGGAGCAAACTCTCAAATCCGGCACAGGCGGCAAAGCGTTGGCAAGCTGCAAAGGCGCGCACCGAGGGGATGGGGGGGATCCAAGCAAGAAAAGGGCCCCGGCTGCATGCTTCTTCTCAATAGGTATCCCCCACCACACAGGCATCCACTCATCCTCCCTTGACCGGCTTAGACGACTCATGCATGCATGACCGGTTTAGCAGCAGTCTTATCACTGCAGCAAATAAAGCTTGACAAAACTGCCGTTGTTGTAGCTACTCTGTTCAAAGCAAGTCGTCTCTATGGACTGTGGCCAGCCGCATGCTTTCATCAGGGGCCAGGCCATACATGGCTTTGAGTGTAGCAGCGTGGTAAATACGACGTACGTACGTATATAGGGGAAAAGGAAAAGCTACAGCTTGCTGGACGCCCGTCGCTCACACGAACCGACGGACGGAAAGGCATGCATGCAGAGAGTTCGTTTTGTGGTTTGGCTCCAGGAGCTAGGGACGAGGACGACGACATGGACAAAGCAAATGACCTTCGAAGACGACGAGCGAGCGAGTGAGCTAGGCGTGACGACCGGTGATGTCTAGGCGTCCAATTGAAGGCTCTGCCTCTGCGTGGGGCGGCGGAACTACTCCGTGGCGCGCGCGGAACGCCACGGTGTGGCAGTCGTTCGACCACCCCACCGATGCCCTGCTCGTCGGGCAGTCGCTGCGCCAGGGCGCGCGCCTCGTACTCCACCAAGGCGCCGGCGCCCAGACTCAGTTCTCGATCCTGGGGTGTCACCCGAGCAAGGAGGTGATCTTCCTCGTCGCCGGCAAGGGCGGCCGAACCTCGCGCAGCGGCGACAATTGGGCTCCACCACAGCTCGGTGCCCAAGCCACCGCGTCCAAGGAAGCAGCCGCCGCGAGACCCAAGGAGCCGCCCAGGAGCATAGACTTCACCAAGCCGCCGGGAGCTCCATGGCGTCGAGGCCGCGACAGGACCTCCATGGCGTCAAGGCCGCGATCGGACCTCCACGGCAGCCTGGACGACCTCCTGCACGGCGCTGCCGGCGCCGGCGCCGCGGGCAAGGCGGGGCTGGACTGGGACGCGCGGCACCGGATCGCGGTGGGCGTGGCCTGCACCACGACTGCGTGCCGCCCGTGGCGCACCACGACCTCAAGCCCAGCAACATCCTGCTCGACGCCAACATGGAGGCGCGCGTGGCCGACTTCGGCGTCGCCAAGGCGCTCCACGGCGCCGCGCCCATGTGAGGAGGTGCCGTTGCCGCCGCTGTGGGCGCGGGCGAGCTGCTGGTGAGCTTGAGGCTGCAGCACAACCAGCTCACCGGCGAGACCCCGGCAGAGCTCGCCGCCTCTGCAGCCCGAGCGTCCGTGTGGAGGCGTGCGCAGAGGAGGGAGACGAGCGAGCTGGGCATCAAGGCGGGCCAGCGTGGGGAGGGCGAGCCGGCACGGGGATGATGCAGCCCCTCACACCCACGGCCCAGCCTGGGCCTCCCCTTGCGGGCCGGCCGGCCGCGCCCTGGTCACGCACGCACGCACGCAGACACGGAGCGCGGATCATGCCGCGACGTCGACGTGCCGACGTGCCTTGCCGCGGCGACCCAGGCATCTGCAGCTGTAGTCTTTCCGTGCGCGCACGCAACGCATAACACATGCACGCGTTGCACACACACTGACCGCAGGAGGGGCCAGCCGGCCAGGGCCATATGCTGCTGCGTGCCCTGCCGTTATGACTTATGAGCCGCAATCCTTGCATGCATGCATGCATGACACTGTGATACAGCATGGCAAGGTTCCTTGTCCCGAAGCACCGAAGCCGACGTACATGCATGGGTGAGCAGGAAGGGTCTGACCGCGTACAAGATAAAAGAAAGGTAGGGTTTTTCTGTAAATGTACGTTGGATTTAAGATTAAATAAATAGCATGGGTCTGTAGTAAACCATTTTAAAAGTTTATGAACCTAAAATGTCACTTTAAAAGTTGATAGACCCAACTAAAACCTCCTCGTAAGGTAATGGATCTCTGGTGCATTTAACTAAAAAAAAATATTATGGCTCCTCACTAGGAAAAAAACCGTAATATAGATAGATAAACGTCCATCCATAGTCCATTGTACTACGTACCTCCGTTCTTAAATCTATGACACCGTTAACTTTTTACTTAAACTTTGACTAATAATAATTGATTAATTAGCTAGTTAAATAAGAGTCAAATGAGTATCTATCATTATTGGCCTATTCGCTGGTTGGTTTCTGGCTGATAAGTCCGGCTAGTGCTGGTTTGTTGTGGGAGAAAAACACTGCTGGCTGGCTGATAAGCCCTGACTGAAACCAAAAAGCGAACAGGCTGTACGTCTATTATCAAAAGCACTTTGGATTTAATTTGTACATTTATCTATTTGCATAAATATTTGTAGAAAGACGAATGGTTAAATGAAAGAAACAAATTAAGACCTTACTAAAAGGCGCTCGCGCACGCGCACGCGCCTCCGCCCGCACAGTCTCTCCCTCCCGCTCCCTCACGAGTCGAACACAAGAGTCTTCTTCTTCCACTCACCGCCTCTGTCACCCCGCCCGGCTCCGGCGTCGCTCCACGCCGCCGCCTCAACCCACTCGGCTCCGGATCCGGCGAGGCCACCCTCGGCTCTGGTGAGTTACCCCGCCCCTGCCTCCACCAACTCGAAGCCACATGAGAGAATTAGCCAGGTCATCATCCTTCCCACCTACGGATAGACATCACATGAAAGGTTATTGGCGATAGAATGCATTTGCAAAATTGCAAAATTATAAAATAAGCTAGCATATCTACAAAGGCTAGATAAACATAACTGCACCTCATACCATGCAGAGAAGGCAAGCCTGTTGGCCGTGGACGCTTGAGCCTGAGCGGAGAAGGAGATGGATACATTGGGAAAGTTATCAGGGGCTCAATCTCCCATAGTGACACCCTTGGCTGTCTCTCACCAGCAGTTGATTCATCCCAGCCAACCTATATTCATTCACAGGTAAATTTCGTGATCATACAAAACCATAAAGTAGGTATCTCTGAGAGAACAAACTTTAAGGGAGTACTGGAGTAGTATCGTTTTTCAGCTGAATATTTGCAACTGAAATGGTTGACAATGGCTTGTAGTAGGCAGAGGAAACAAGAGAAGCACAGGTCAAAAATATACCTTGACAGAACGCCAGTGTGAATTTGGCCACCGAACAGAATCAAGATCACTGATTCCCGTAATTGTCAACATGTATCTGGAATTGAATGTATTTGATCTGGTTAGACTGCTAATACCACCTATGACTGCATATATGGTAATTCAGTATTCATTGTAAGGAAAGAGGTATATTGACATGTGGCCTATGCCATAGATCTTGTTGGCGAATGCAGTAATCATCAAAACTAGACAAAGGCAATGTGTAGGAAAATGATAGGGAAAGAGAAAATGAAATGGCAAATGAACTAAGAGGTAAAACATATAAGGTGAAGTTGCAAACAGATTTGAACTTACCTCCTAACGCTAGACTCTTCTGTCTCAAAAAGCATCCAGAAGCGCATCCCCATAGATATGCAGGTATGATACACAGCCTTAACATACTTTGCAAGCGGTATGACAAACTCTGAAGGGCTTGCCCTGCAAAAGCAAATGTTAAAACGTTTGACAGGAAAAACGCCCAAAAAATAAGTGATTACAGAGGTTCTACCTTGGGCTGTAGAAAATTGTAAACCGGCTATTTGTCGAAGCAGCATGAGCAGCTGCAGCAAGAAGACCGATATGCATGCATAAGACAGAAGATGGCATGACAGTTTGTGGCCGATTTGCCCGACGAATTCCCAGCAGAAGCTGGTTATTGCCATTCCTGACAAGGCAATGAGACATAAAATCAACCAAAAAGAAACCATCTGATGGGAAGGAGACAAAAAAAAAAAGAGCATAAGTGATTGTTTGGAATGCCGGAAGTATGAACATACCAAAAAAGGACAGAGTCACCAGCAACGAGTCTCTTTGCACTTACAAAGACACTCCAGCCTGTAGTTAGAAGATGCCGCATTGGTTGACCTGCATTAAGGATGGTATTTAGAAGGTTATGCAATAGCCCTAACCATTGAAGGCACAGCAAGTAGAGTTAAAAGGAAAAAGAAAAACTGCTTACCACGAAAGATGTGACGGAATTTCCACTCATTGCCATGAAGATCATTTGCCATCAACTCCTGGCATGGAGGTTGCTGGGTGAAATCCTACATAGTATTTGGCAAATTAGATCAATCTGTGGAGGAAACATAAATAATGAACTTGAAACTTGAGAAGTTCACTTTCTGCAACAAAATCAACATAAATAATGAGCTTGAAACTTGAGAGAAGTTGCACATACAAGTGGAGGGAACACTTTCTCAGCTGCTCGACGGGGAACAGAGAACCCACCATGGGTACTTGTGTCACTTGCTGTTAATGTTTTGCAGAAATAGTTTGTTGGCTGTTTATTGGCCGAACCTAATTCTGCAGGTAAATATGGGTCCTTCAGTTCTTGCTGCACAAAAAGCAAGCCAAAAATTACTCTTCATAGATACCAAGAGGAGTTTGCATATTATGTGACACAAATAGGCAGAAACAATATAATTTACCGGGTTGAGTGGTTGCAGTGTCATCTGTGCATATACCTCATCTGTCTCTGCATCAGCCTGAAAGAAGGGAAATAACACAGATAATGAAACACAAAACTAAGGTTACTCAGCTTTAGGAGAAAGTGTTCCAAGTCTCCAAACTTACATGCACCGTCACATTATGCAGTTGGCATATAAGCTGTGGCGGCAGATTAGGATAATTGGGGATCTGAGACTCCATTTCCTTGTTTGTTGATGCTGCAACCTGAAGAAATTCACCAAAAAAACTAGTGTGAAAAAGGGAGAATTTTTCGAGTTTTGAAAATACTGGCAGGGGATAATTGGGGGTTTGAGCTTGACAGCCAAACTGGAAGAGGACAGAGGATTCAAGGGCATGGTGAGCTTGTGTACAAACCTGCTCGCTGTGGCCCTGAGGGAAGTACACAACCCGGCTACCCACCACGGGCAAGGAAACAAGTGGGCCGGCACAGGCATGCCACAACTTGAGTTCAGGCACTTGTACTCCTCCACAGCTCTAATGGCAGAAGTATTTGTTTATTTTGAGAATAGGTTTCAATAGTAGTATGTCCTAGTAGTATTGTTTTTCACAAAAGTTGAAACTCGGCTTGCATCCCAACCGTAAACATGTTGAATTTGTTATATCATAGGATTAATTGTGTGTAGTATTATTTATGTATCATAGTGTGCATACAATTAAATTAATAATATTGATATGACATAATGTTTCGATAAAAATATATAAACTTATTTAAAATAATATTTTATGAAATTTATTATCATGGAGTATAAATATAAAGAGTTATTGCGACGGGGTTTGTTAAGTGAACATTTTTCCATGTTTCATAAGTTGTTAAAATAATTCTTAATCCTAACGTATACATGTTTAGTTGATATACATGGTAGAATATAGCATTATATTTATTTTATTTCATGATTATAGCAGTCTATGAATTAGATATATATATGTATCGTACTTTATGGATATTGTTTTTATTTTTTAATATATATATTACTATTTATGTGTAGATTTCAGAGATTTTTGTTTATTTTTTATAATGACTAAGGTACCTACAAATATAAAGATAATACCTTATATTATCTTTCACAATAACATATATGGATATGTTAAATGCAAACTTAGAATATTACTTTGCATTATCTTTCATAATGATAAAGGTAGATAATATATAAAATTATTATGAGTTCCTTTAAATTATCTTCCATAATGGTATATGTGGGTAATGTAGATACAAAGTTCGAGGATTAAATTATCTTTTATAATGACAAAGTTGGGTAATTTAGAAACAATGTTAGGGGGGTATTTTAAATTCTGTTTCATAATGGCCAAGATGGGTAATTTAGATGCAAATTTAGAGGGTCATTTTGAATTATCTTTTGTGATGGCAGAGGTAGGTAATTTACATGCAAAATTAGGGGGTTACTTTATGTATTTTTCATAATGACAGCGGTGGGTAATTTTATAATAAACTAGAGATCCAATTGTCATTATCGGTGATGATGATTAGTGTCGACAAAAGATGCTCGGCAGTCCACTGAGGGGTATCCCGCGATGGTAGATTTGTCATAGAGGTGAGCGAGATCATGAGCGAGATGATAATACAAGCATCAAGACACAAGATTTAGACAGATTCGACCGTCAGTATAACATAATACCTACATCCTGTGTTCTGATGTATTGTATTGAGATGTCGAGTAGGGGACCCCTGCCTCTCCTTATATACTCTGGAGGGGTAAGGTTATAAGGAAAGTATCATATTTGGTACTATACAATAGCTTGCGGTGAACGCCGAGCAGCGCCGTGCACGCCTTGATCTTGTGGGCTGGGCTACCTCTGATGGTACGGCCCATATCTTGTCTTGTGGATACCGGAGGCCATACCCCCACAGCTAGTCCCCGAGCCTGACAGTAGGTGACGTACACTACGGCAGACGCGTGCTTTGCCGAGTGCAATTGCACTCGGCAAAGAAGGTTTTGCACTCGGCAAAGCCTTTGCTGAGTGCTGCACTCGGCAAAGAGCTGTCGGCATATCCCTTCACGGTAAAGGCTTCTTTGCCGAGTGCCGCATGTCGGGCACTCGGCAAAGCCTTTGCCGAGTGCCGGAAAAGCACTCGGCAAAGATTTACACTCGGCAAAATAAAAATGCGAAAAAACCCAAAAATAATAGCAAAATTTTTCAAATTTTTTTTTTCGGGGGAGGCCACCACCGGCCAGCGCCTACCCGTCTCCATCGAGGTCGCTGCATTTTTTGCGCTAAATTCGCGGCTAACGCGGCCGGCGAGATTCGAACTCACGACCTCTCCCTTGCGTGTCTGCTGCTCTACCACTGCACTACACTGTCACTTGTGTCTAGATTCCGTTATCTATCCTCATATATTATACTAAATCGAGATTAAATTGCTTGTTTGAGGCTCTAAACGAATTTAAATCAAAAAGTGGTCAACTACAAAGTTTCATAACTTTTCGAGATCTACAATTTTCATTTAGTAAGTTTTTCCATCCGAGGTCGTTTGAAAAATTCGAATTTCAAATTTGAGAGATTCAAACATAGTTTTGCATGATAAGATGATTTCAAAATAAAAAGTTGTCAACTACATAGTTTCATAACTTTTGGAGATCTACAATTTTTATTTAGGAAGTTTTTCCATCCGAGATCTTTTAAAAAATTCAAATTTTAAAATTTTCAAATTCAAACGTCGTTTTTGCATGACAAGATGATTTCATATCAAAATATTGCCAACTACAAAATTTCATAACTTCTCAAGATCTACAAAATTTATTTTGGTTATTTGTTCATCCGACATAGTGGTAGTAACATTGTTCATAAATCTTATATATCTCTCTTCTACTTTCATGAAACTAATATGAGAGATATGAGAGATGTAGATTTTATGAAAAATGTTATTGTCGCTTTATCAAATGAAGAAATGACTAAAATAAACTTTATAGATCTTGAGAAGTTATACAACTTTGTAGTTGAAATTTTTTTCATTTGAATTCATTTAGGGCCTCAAAAATTGTTTTGAAAAACTGATTTGCCGAGGGCCAAAAAATGCACACGGCAAAATGCCTCTTTGCCGAGTGCCAAAACAAAGGCTTTGCCGAGTGTCAGAAAAAAGGCACCCGGCAAAGACGCATTTTGCCGTGTGCCAAAAAATAGCACTCGGCAAAATATATCTTTGCCGAGTGGCAGAAAAAAAGGCACTCAGCAAAGACGCATTTTGCCGTGTGCCAAAAAATAGCACTCGGCAAAATACATCTTTGTCGAGTGCCAGAAAAAAGGCACTCGGCAAAGACGCATTTTGTCGTGTGCCGAAAAATAGCACTCGGCAAAATACATCTTTGCCGAGTGCCAGAAAAAAGGCACTCGGCAAATACGCATTTTGCCGTGTGCCGAAAAATAGCACTCGGCAAAATGCGTCTTTGTCGAGTGTTTTTTTTTGCCGAGTGTATTTTATTTGGCACTCGGCAAAGACCGACTTTGCCGAGTGCCCGATAAAATACACTCGGCAAAGCCTTCGGCACTCGGCAAAGTGCCGGTTTCCGGTAGTGGTAGTCACGTGGTGCCAGGGTAAAAAAGCAGAAGACTAGCCGAGCAGGCAGCCAGTTCCCGGGCGTAGCCTCGAGATGAAAAGCGCACATTCACCGTAAGGTGAAGTGTGCCCACTTATTCCCCAAACCTACTGGAAGATGAAGAATGAATCTTGTAGCAGGGTCAAAGAAAAAGAAGTCTGAAAGCTTGCCGACGTCGTCTGACATGCGCGTATCAAGACCCCAGACGTGCTGCCCAAGATCAGCACCCTGATCCGAACAGCATGGAGCAGCTTGATAGCACACCGACGAGACGTAGCAAGATCTGAGCAGCAAGGGAGTCCCCGGCGTAGCTGGCGATGTCCGAGCACCGAAGAGCGAGGAGTCCCCAGCATCGTTGACGATGTCCGAGCACCGAAGAGCGAGGAGTCTCCGGCGTCGCTGGCAATGTCCGAGCACCGAGGAGCGAGGAGTCCTCGGCGTCGCTGGCGATGTCCGAGCACCGAGGAGTCCCCGACGTCGCTGGCGAAGTCCGAGCACCGAAGAGCGAGGAGTCCCCGGCGTCGCTGGCGATGTCTGAGCACCAAGGAGCGAGGAGTCCCCGGCGTCGCTGGCGATGTCCGAGTACCAAGGAATCCTCGGCGTCGCTGGCGATGTCCGAGCACTGAGGAGCGAGGACTCCCCGATGTTGCGGGCGATGTCCAAGCACCGAAGAGCGAGGCGTCGCTGGCGATGTCCGAGTACCGAGGAGTCCCCGGCGTCGCTGGCGATGTCCGAGCACCGAGGAGCGACGAGTCCTCGGCGTCGCTGGCGATGTCCGAGCACCGAGGAGTGAGGAGTCCCCGGGGTCGTTGGTGATGTCCGAGCACCGAGGAGTCCCCGGCGTCGCTAGCGATGTCCGCAAAGTAAAGTGTGCCCACTTAGTCTTCGAGCACGAAGAATCCGAGCACCGAGGAGTACCCGGCGTAGCTGATGACGAAGCATGAGCGACGAACAGTCTGGTCAACTGGTCGGCAGCAAAGTGAGCATTGAGTAGAAGCGACCGGCGAACAGTTCGATCAACTGGTCGGCGACGAAGTCAATGAACCTAGCGGTCCGACCAGTTGATCGGTGGAGAAGTCCGAGCACCAGGTGATCCGATCACCTGGACGATGATCCTGCAATACAAATATGTAGAACGGATAGTACATGATGTAAAAATATATGAACTCCGGAGAAAAAAATAACGTATGTAGATTGGCGATCAGTTGGAGCGAAGATGTATTTATATTTAATATAAACCGTCCGACCAGTTAGTGTGTAGCTGAGTCTCCAGCCCTAGCTAGCTAGCCTGTTAACTATAACGTCGAGCGCGGAGCCCGTGCACGTGTAGGAGGAACAGACGTGACCAAGGAACCGCTGCCGACCACCCATAACACAAAGCGCGGAGCCCGTAGCACGTGTAGGGAGGAGCCGGAGACAGGACCGTCTCTAGAGGCGTCCGAGCATCAACATGACTGTTTGGGGGTTCGGAAAATCGTTTGGAGAGCAAATATGGAGAAAACAGCTCAGAGAATCATTATGGCGATATACGAAGATTGGAGAATATTTAAAAAAAATATTAAAGCGTGACTTAGCTTTAGACAGAATGTCTGGTCGGCGGCGTATGGCGTTATCTGGTCGGCGTTGACAAAATTGCCATGCGCTCGAGCTATCATCATGGAGGCGGTTGCGGTTGTCACGGCACCGTTCTTCACGACGATCATCGTTGCAACGCGGCAGGTGGTCGGAGTAAGTAGTCCGGGTGACGTCGTCCTTATATCAGTGGTCGGCGACTCGGGCAGCTCGCGATCGGAGATGGTATAGGAGCAGTAGGAGCAGCCTTTGTCGCTGCCGGAGTACTCGTCGCCGCCGTTGGCTTGTGTTGATCAAGCTTGGCTCTTGGA